ACCTACATAGCACATTTATAGTCAACGTTCGTATATTGTTTAATGTATAAGCATTTCTTGATTGTCTGCAAAAGCTGGTCAATATTGCAAACACCCAATTCAAAATGATAAAATGACATACTTTTTTTTTTATAAATTAGTATAAAATTTATTAAATAAAATAGCAATAAAATTGTTTTATAGAAATTGTGCAATTAATTCTTAATGTTTTGTTCTTATTTTATTTTTTATTTTAAAATTGTCTATATATATATATACTATAATAAAATAGTGATAGCAAATTTGGAATGTGATTCATTATGTTCAAACTACTGTAGTATTGTTATGTACTTCCTTGAACTTAATATTTAGTACTTGAAGCAATATTTTGTAATTTGATACCATCAACATTTGTTGAAAATAATTTGTGATTGAAAAAGTCCTTTTTTACTACGCTGCTTTTTAATTGAACTCAAGTAGTAGGGTTTAATTAATTTAGTTAACTTAAAATTTAACTAAATTTAATTGACTGAAGAGTATTTCTCGTATTATTCCCATATCACAGTAATATGTCTGATATTACCTTGTAACAATTTCTATTTTTAAAAAATAACTAAATAAATGGATTTTTGAAAATATTTACATATATATTAATGTTTTATTTAACATCTAGGTCTAGCTAGATTGCTCTAGTAGGAATATTGTTTACACATGTATACACTGTCAGATATTTCAGTAGATTTTATTTCATTATTTCCTTGTTATGCTTCAATGGGATAAATAGATGCATTGCTGACAAAGTCCATACCTTTATTTATGTGATGTGATGTTCCACCACAACCTTCTGTGAATAGAGTCATTTTTTTTTAGTATTTAAAAAGAAAAGAGTTCTTTTATTTTCAAAATGTTCCATGTATATAGTTGATCAGTATCAAGTAAATAAATTTTATATTTTATTTTACAACTATTTATATGTAATGGCTTTAGATGAATATGGAAGTCATAAAATGGTGTGTTTCTAAAAATGGTGTGTTTGTGAATATTGTTAAAATAGATTTTGCTTGGAATAAAATAAAATACTCATACTTTAATTTGTTTTAGTAACATAGCATTACATAGCATTAAAGTCAATTACATTCATTGTTAAGTATTAATTATGTAATCCAGATATTTTTTGGTTGTTGTTTTTCTTTCCTTTCAGTTCAATCATTTATTTGTTGCTTCAATTCTTCCATGATAGTATATCATAACAAGACATCCTTGGCAAATGTTGATTGTGAATGTTTGTCCTAGTTGTAAGGTGTTCTGTGGTTATCGAGTGCATGTTTCAATGTATGGTGTTTAATTGAATGAAACATTCTGATCCTGAATCAATAATTGTCATAATGTGAAAACTTTGGTGAAAATATTTCAGTATACTTTACACATGGACTGTTCAATGATGAAAAGATTAACATGTGTCTGCTGTCCAACAAATGTAGTAGGCCGCAACCAATGGCGTGTAATGTTAGTTTTTACTTGGGTAAATTATTCATTTGATATTGTTTAAAATCTAGTCCAGTCATTGTCCAAACTTACAGTATTTTCAACAAATATTAGCATTTTATTGTATTCATTATGTTATGATTGAAGTTTGTTTTATCTAATCAGATAAGTATTTACACACAAATGTTATTTGCACAACTAAGTAAAAAGAGTTTCATTTCTAATAGACTAAATCAATTCTAAAATAGAGGCTTGATTGTTTTGTAATGTTTGTTTTTACTCAATTGTCATTTGGCCCACAGGAAATGATTGAGTGAAATTTATTCAACATTGACTCACATTTTTTTTCTCTCTCCCCCTCCCCCCCCCCTCCCATAAGTCATCAAGACAATAGCAAGTTTGAATGTGTGCAGCACATGTGTTCAGAGTTTCACCCTAAATGTAAATAAATGACTGAAGTGAAATGAACAATGTCACAAAGCAATTCCTTGCACCTTCATGTGATTTCTATTAATGAAACTACTTGAACCCACCAATACATTGAAATGTTCATGCTATATTACTTGTACATCCATTGCCATAACAATGTTGACAAGAACTATTTTTATAGCATTATTAAAGCATTTTAACAATTATTCTATTTTATTTGAAGTATGGTATTTCATCATGTCCTTTTTTCCTTTTAACTTGCCAAATAATAAAATAATATCCAAAAAAATTATTTTCTTGATGGTTAGCTAGTTAACCATTGCTGCTTTCAAATCTTATTGCCAAAAACCTAAGGAAATAATGAATCTTAGTAATAATACCCAATTCTTGTTTGAGGTGGAGACTATTTAGTTAGCTGAAGGAGCTGGACGATAAGTCATCCAATGGTGAAGGAAAAAATATTCTAGAAATGAGTTTGAAATAATCCCTTTTATTTTGTCATGTAGATTTAAAAATAAATTCTTTCTTGGACCAAAAATGCTAATAATTCATACGTTATTGTCTAGTTTTTGAAGATTTAATAAAGTACAGCAATTTCTATCCATAATGTGTCATTGATTCTATTTATATATATATATATAAACTGACTGACTTCATCATTGTAATTTGTTTTGTGTTCTATTGATGAATTGCATTGATAAATTGTATAACATTTATTTCCCCATTTAGTCCTACATACATATCTTTGTTTAATTTGCTATTTAATAACAAAGATATATTTTTGTAATCCCTGTATGTCTATCTATCTGGGTTGATTCAAGAATGTTTAAAAGGATTAAGATGACCTTCTATGTACTGATTTTCAATAGATCTATTTTCTGCATGTATTTCAACATCTTGTACTTAGCAGCAGACTGATTAGTGTATCTGCACAATTTATATATTTCTGACTACAAAGTGCAACATTGAGAATGAATAGTTAATTCTGGTGACACATTACACACAATCTATAGCTTACTGTTGACAATGTACACAGTGCAATTAGTTTGTGCCATAATGGAAAATAAAGAGTTGCCTGTGACTTATGTTGTACAACAAACTGGACAACTTTGAACAGAATTGACTGTGAAAAAAATATTTTGAAGCCAAATGCATGGTTGTTTTTGTTTCTGTTAACCTTTTTTTTTTTTTTCCCCCTGAAACCTTTTCAAGTGTTTCTGAATTATGAGACTCTATGATGCTAATGCTACTGACAACACTTCTGCTCTTGTTCATTAAGTAGTACTGGGTACAACAATCTTCATTCTGCACTTATATCTCTTAGTACTGGCCGTCAATTAGAAATGTATGTTTTTATTTCCTCCTCTTGTCCAGATTAAGCTACCACTGTTTGACAACATGCCTTAAACAGTGATAGCATTGTTCCACTTTCTCTTAGCATGGAAACATCTGTATTACCTTAGATGATACATTAGAAAGGTAGATTAACTAAGTCTACTTTAGAGATTATCATCAGGTCAATGCATATTTAGGGGAATGTGTTTCTTCTCCAAAATGTAACCTATAAAAAGTATTTATTTAGAGGTCAAGTGAAAGTAATACCTTACATTTGTGTTGGTTGAAGATCTATTATTTACCTTGTTCACTACATTTGTGGCTTATTAAATTCTCTGGATAGCCAAGTGCACATTAGTCTGCACATTGTCTTTCCCTCAGAAAAAGGTTGTGATTTTTTTCCTTCTTGTCTTAAGTTAAACTTACAAAGAAAAGAAAAGAATATTTAAAAAGGTATAAATCTAATTATTTACACTATTGTATAGTTCAACAATTTTTGTTGTATTCAATGTGAATTTACTTGTGACTTTCTCTCCATGTGCCCTTGATTGTGTACTTAAAAGACAGTAAATGCACTGTATATTTTTTTAAGTTTGCAAGGTACAACTTTACAGCGAATATATTCTTATATATATTACAACTTTTTTTCCCTCATGCATTTCATACATTTTTTTACTTTTATTGAGTCCCTTTATAGAGAGAGTGTAGTTGAAAGTAACAGTAATTCTAATTGCATTCAATAAACAATATTTTGCTCAAAAGACATTCTTCACCCAATTCTCTAACTAATGAAGGTCTGAAATAGATAGGACATTGTGTTTCAAGTATTAATCTCTAATAGAGTTTGGTAGAATAGGTCTACAAATAACTTGAAATACATTTTTTAGATGTTCCATTTTGTCATGATGTGACAAAACTAAATCTATCGAACCAGAATCCGATAAATCTTTATTTTATTACAAAAGGGTTAAAACAAACTTTTTGGAGAAATTTCATTGGTAAATGTAGCCTACCAGTCTCAAGGTTATTATCTACTCACAAAGACTGTTTTTTTCTTTTAATAATGTAAAGGTATAAAATGATGATATGCTGACATAGTTCCTGCTGTGTACTCTATTATGCTGATGGAAGGTGTGATTTTACAATTGTGATTTTTTTTTTTTTCAATGTTAAAGTATAAATACAATTTTATTTTCTTATTCATTCAATGTTTTGGTAAATGATGAAGTAAATCAGTGTTATGGAGACCAATTTATCATTGACATTATAGAGTCAGCCATTTAACTCTCCAATATAGGTAGATTTTGATAAGCCAATTACTGGAGTTCTGTATATTGACCACATATTATGTAGGGGTTAAATCTGATGAAGTTGCCAACAAGAGTTTTGGTATTTGTGTCCTATTTTAAGATTCATTTCAAATATCCAAATAATTACTCACAATTAAGGAACTAAATCCATCCAAATTTTTACTATTTACTACTACTACACTACTGGTGATCAAATGGCACCTAAATTGTGGATCATTGATGTTACCTTCTATTTTGAGACAATTCCTAAAATTCATTGGACTCCATAGAGTGTGTGATACATTCATGCATGACAAGATTCTATGAATGCATTGAAGAATGGGAAATAAACAGTTTCAATTTTATATGGCTTTTTGTTCACTTCTTCCAATAGAATGTTTGTTAATCTTTCAAAAACTATCTACCAATATTTTATATAAATCTACAATAATAGATTTGGATTAAAAAAAAACAACTGCAATGTACTGTTTCATACCATTTATTTAACAATGTCTGACATTTTAAAGCACACATTGTTACAACATCATTATTTGGCGTACTCCACATACTGTTTCACTATCAATCCTTAAAAAATTTAAGTTTTTACAACTTGTACATACAACATATTAAGCTTTCGCAAAATGCAATTTAATTGAATGAACTTGAAAGATTTATTTAAATATTTATTTTCAATCAGCAGTTATGGTTATGTGCCGCTAACCCAAAAACCAAGTTAAGAACAATTATTAAATTAGTTCACCCAAAAGTTGTACAAAACTCTTTCTCTGTTTAAATTCAAATAATAAAATAGAGCCTATGAAATAAATGACAATAGACTATTAAATTTTCAAGAATATATGCTGACTTACAAAGTCATCATAATATTCTTTCAGCATTACAAGTAAATCCTTCATAATGCAGTGAAACATCAAAATTTAAAAACACTATATATATACATATATATATATATATATATATATATAGTGTTATGCACTATTTAATTTCTCTGACATAATCCATTATACAGAAGAACAACACTATGTTGACAGAACATAGTAATAATTTACTACACATTAGTAAATTAACAAATGAAAAGATAAACACTATACAAATGGTATGCTCATTAAAATAACATCTGAAATAATTGAACTATAACAGCTCAATCAAAAGTTAACCAGTTTGCCAAGGAAAGTAAAACCAAAAAAAAATTTAAAAAAAATGAGTCACCTTACATCCATGCTCTATTCAGTACAGATGGTGGGGGAAGCACAATGCCACTATGTTGTCAGCTATTATGCTATCCAAGCTTATCCCAACAATACAACAGTAAAGAACAAGGAGGGAAGTCTCTTATCATTCAACACAATGAAACAAGGTCATAAAAATATGTAAAGTATTATTATTATAAAGCATTTAGGAGAAAACTGTACAAATGTCAAGTGAAATAATCAAATAAGAAATGAATGTTACAGTCAATGATGATTAACCTCGATACCCAGCAATCAAGTCATAATAAATTAAAATAAAAGTGATATCCAATAGATCACACACAAGTTCACAGAAAAATCCAAGTCATTATCCAGCATTTAGAAAAACAAATTTTAAGAGGAAATTACACGCTTCTGTTTGAAAAAAAAAAAAAAACATTTAAAATTATTTTTTAACAACATGGTCTTTGAAACAGTGGTTTTTAAAATAGTAATTCATTTATACATAACACATTGCGAATGATTCCATACAGAAATACAGATGATCATTGTAAGAAACATTGAAATAGAGCACTAGGCGCATTTATTCAGGGGTCCATGTCTGCTCAGTGCAGAGTCTTCAGATATGCACATGTTCACACACTCATTGAACTAAAATGTACACAATCACGAAACATCCTCAGAATCATTGTCATCATCCTCATTTAAAAATGCAAACTTGTTTTTGTCCGAAAAGTCCTTAAAAAAGAAAAAGATAGTGATGAATTAAAACAACTGTGTAATGAATGTCAGAACTAATTGAAGATTTACCTAAAATTAACAATGATGAAGTCAAGCTTTATAATGATCTATGACAAAATACAATCAGTATTCTGAGAGACACAAACAGAATTTAAAGGTTATTTTATCCCCAATTAAAAAGTTATTCTCAATCATTGTGTAAGGTGCTGTTAAGGCTTTGACATTAAGCACTCATTTCATCTAATATATAAATAAATATGTTTACTTCTAATATTTGCTGCTATATCTGAACATTCTTTTGGTGCTTATAATGTTCCCTTTCCCCTCTTCATTTTTGTGGAAAAATCTAATAATACATGTAATTAAGTAGTACAATGGTAGATATAATTCTAAAGCTGGGTGTTATATTACTTCTTTTTGATGTAAGGCATTTCAATATTATCCTGCACATACTGCATGTATCTTGATGCTCGTCAATTTTAATATTGAGATGTTTTATTTATTACAATAAACGCTGATTTCACCCATTCTCAGGAGCAGATTCATATAACCTATATTAGCTTTGAAAGAAAGAAAGAAAGAAAAAGAAAGAAAGAAAAACGGGAATGGGAAAAGTCCAAGATTACTCAAATTGAGGAACTAGCAAAGGAGGGAGACATGAGAGGAATGTATATGAAAATTAAAGATGAAAAGAACGGATTTCAAGCTAGATCACACATGTGTGAGAACAAAGATGGTCACCTTATTACAGAAAACAGCAGGGTCATTGAGAGATGGGCTGAATACTTTGAGGAGATCCTAAATACCACTGAAGATGGAGACAATGGAGAATATGAACTGCCACATGGGGGACCAGATCCTTTAGTGAACCCTCCAACACTCATTGAAACATCAGAAATAATTAGGACCATGAAGAATCACAAAGCACCAGGAGAGGACCAAATCACAGCAGAACTGATTAAATATGGAGGGAAAGACTTACATTCCCAAATACACAGACTAATATCAAGAATTTGGGAAGAAGAAGTAATACCAACAGAATGGGAAACGGCTCTTATAACCCCAATACACAAAAAAATATCCAAGTTAAAGTGCTGTAATTACAGAGGAATCTCTCTACTAAATGTGACTTATAAGATACTGTCTAGGCTTATAACTAAGAGACTTGGAAAATATTCAGAAGAAATCTTAGGTGACTACCAATGTGGTTTCAGACCCAACAAATCCACAATCGACCACATCTTCACACTAAGATGTATACTAGAAAAATGCCATGAATACAACATACCAAGGGGAACTATTACTAACTACTTCAGGAGAGAAAACACGGGTCCACAACCAACAGGGACGATATACAGCCAACCTCT